GGGAGCCTGTATAATTTATTCCGTGCAAATTACTCAGACCTACTAATCGACCTAACAGAAGTTATTGAGTTCTGTGTAAGTTGTGCTTGGCTCATGATCTCACCAACGTCAGCAAGATCTCACCTCTATCAAATCCTGAAGAACAAGGGTCAATGAACTGCTGTTTCAATTCAGACGACCCGCTAAATCTGTTTAAGCGATCCCGAAGGATTTTGATATCAGTGAATGAGGTGTGGCCCTACCTAGGTGTGAGTGTGGCAGTGTGCAATCTTAGCTTTGAAGCAGGAGAGGAGAGCGCTGATGTCTTTTAAGTTGTCCCAATCCAAAAGGTGGGATCAGTTTATTTGAAGAAAAATTGGTCCAAACGTATACAGGGTTTTTACCTTCTCTCGTTACAACATGACAATCCTACAAAACATATCATGCTGTGGTCATGTTCTAATATGAAACCTCAATTCACAGTTTTACATTTATTGCACTAAATTGTAACTTCAACTGCCCAATTCAGTTGTCACATTTAAAATCGTCCGACAGAATTTAGAGGCATCTCCTCATAAATGACCGGGGATAATAAAAAGCACATTCAAACTTTCATTCAACAAATCAATTCATAAACACATCTAGTCCCGCATGAATTGGGAGGGCCTTTCCTCACAGGTGGCAGGGTGCTAAACTTTCAACACACATCAATTCATTCAGCTTTCAACAAATACATTTACTCCGCATTCAACAAAGAAATTCAAGCGATAGTTACCAAGTTTGAGAGAACTTTACCGAGGCAAAAACCAGAGCTTACTGGGAGAGAGCATATGGGGAACCCCCCCTCTCTCGAGTTTGCTCCCTCTCTGCTAGTGTTTTTATGCTCGAAACAGGACAGAAAAACCTAAAGACACCTCCTCCAAACCCATATTTGTGGAAAGTGGGCATGGCCTCTGATGTACAGGACTTGCAAAAATATTATTCTCGGCTATGGCACAAATCAATCAATCAATCAATGTTTAATTATATAGCCCAATGTCACAAATGTGACATTTGTCTGAGTGGACTTCACAGTTTATAGAGAATATCAGTATGACAATACGACACCCTCTGTCCTTAGACCCTCACATCGTACAAGGAAAAACTTCCAGAGAAAAACCCACAGTTTAAAGGGGAACATGGGAGAAACCTCAGGGAGAGCAACAGAGGACGGACAGACGTGAAATAGATGCCGTGTGTAAATTGAAAAGATAATACATTTGCAACATAGGTAGACCAAATGTTTGGAAATGCATGTGTCTGTAGAATAAGAAGAAGATGAATCCACGAGGATGTCAGCAATCTTGTGGGAGCCATCAGGGAAGTAGTATGGTGAGAGTCTGGCAGGACCGCAGAGACAGGTTCAGCCACGACTCGAAGTCCAGGACTCAGATCCAGTGCTCAGGATCCAGGACACACGACCACAGCAACAGGATTAGCCTCGACTCAGGATCCCGGCGTATATATGGACACAAAAAAGAGATTTGGGGGAAACTGGGTTAATCGGAACATGAGAGTACACAGGTACAAACACCTTTTTGGGGCCTCAGTCTTTCCCCAAAAAGTCAGGAGCCCCCCCCCTGTGCACTGCTGTGGGAAGAAGAAACTGTCTCCCCTCCCTTATCAGTGACACCCGTAAACCATAATAGGTCTTACACTCAACTTAACAAACCACTATGTTTATACTGTAAATATAGAAAATCATAAAATATGAAGCATTCTCATTTTGGGTTATACAAGAATATAATTGGTTATATTTGATTATAACTAACTTTCGTTTTAAGTATTCAACCTAATATGGAGATCTCAACACATGTTTTAGAAACTGAGCTGATGCTTTATTTGTCAAATCAAAATCTAAAAAGTAACTATAGCCAAATAAATGTACAATATTCCCATTTTAGAAGTATAAAGTAGCAGAACATGGAAATAGCACCTAAAAGTACTTGAGAACATAAAATGAGTTGATTAATTGATGATCTGTCGATCAAATTGGCAACACTTACTGGTTACACTTAGTTTGTGAAACCTCATCCTGGGGTTGTTTACCATTAAAACTCACTTTAAATAACACAATGGCGCCACTTTCTGGTCAGTTCTCTTACCTGCCATGCTAGTCACACAAAATCCATCCTTCTCGTAAAACAGCTTCTAAATACAGACGGCAGAAATAATATAAAGACCCGAAGTCTATTGGAGTCACAGCATGTTTATTTTGTCACATATTTCAATGAATCAAGCCTGAGAGTTTACAGAATAATGTCATAATTATGGTTCTTTTAAAATATACTCAATTGCTGAATAGAAGGCTATATGTTTTTTGTGACATAATCCATTGGATCACATACAAGTGGAATCGATTCTGATAGTCTTGGTTTGGTTTGTAAAAAGTACACATTAAAAATACTGAACCTATGGACATAAATGGAGGCAGCCACACACACTTTTCTCAGGAGAATTGTAATGCAATTCTATGTTGTATGCAACATTTGATTTTGGTCAAGTTTAATAACCCTTACAAATCAGTGGTACTGTCACAAACTACAGGCGTACTGTGAATATGAATGTTATAAACATGTTCAAAATTTTCATCTTCCATTTTAAATGCAATTGTAAATAGCATTTTGTTCTCACGATGAAACATTTAATAATTTTAAAAGTCCATACTTTCAAGACAAAGTGCAAACAAGTTAACCTTGACATTGCAATTATTAGCTAATTTCCCTTTTTTTGTATGTAATCTGGGCTGATCATAGAGATTTATCTGTATAATACGATAACATAATCTTATTTACATGTAACCCTATAATAAAATCCCTCTTTTCATTTCTTCTGCCACACAGGGATAGCAGCCTGTCTCGGAGCGACGCCACTAGGACAGATTTTGTACGGTGTACTGGTTTTACAACATTCACTCTTTAGTTTCAGGCAGACGAAACAGAAAACAACGTGGCAGCGAGGGCAGTCGATATTCTTGCAGTATTGTTGGCTATGTTCCACCTTCATGCCGCATGTGGGACAGGCTCGGACCGAGGGGCATTCGGCGACCCCCTCCACCGCGGGCAGGCTGAGGGTCTTGCAGGTCTGCAAGAGCTGGAGGTCCCTGTTCATGCAGCCGTCATTGTCGCAGCAGTCAGATCGAGGGCCCGGACCTTTCCATTTCCTCATGCACTGCCAGCAGAACTGGTAGGTCTTCTTCAGATCCGCTGTGCATATGGAGCACCGGACACACAGGTTGGAGAGATCCTTCCTCTCCACACTCGTCCTGCACTGTGGGCACTGAGAAACAGAGCAAAAACTGGTTGAACATTTGAATAGGAGAAAATGCCACATTTAAAGGGGACCTATCATGCAAAATGCACTTTTTATGTATTTAATACATAAAGATGTGTGTCAGGGAACCCACAAAGTGTCAGAAAACAAAACCCTCTCTCTATTCCTCCATGCACAAATCTCTAAAAACGGGGCTACAACGGAGCTGATCTAGATTTGCGTCCGATATGACGTAATATCGGAAATGTGGACCCACAGCCCTATCAGAAAGTTGCTATCGGAAACAATGTCCCGCGTGTTTTGGACGTAATATGGTCTTTGTTTACATTAGCATCGCTAACACTCAGAGCTAACCTGTACTGGAGAGAGTGTAAAAAAGTAGGAAATAAAAAAAGGAACTCACCTTGTGATAAACCCGCAAGAGAAAAAGCATTTGAGGTCCATACTGTTTCAGAAATAATCCTTGATGTCGTTTGGAACATGATATCGCATTTAATCACGGCAGCATTTAGCTGAGTATCTCGTCTAATTTCTTTTTTCAAGCTAAGGACCCAAATCAGCAATTCTCCAATAGGGCTGGAATAGAGGGATATGAGGGATGTCTAAAATGCATGATCTGTTTGGTATTTTTAGCAAAACACATCATAGGCATGTTTTATATATATTTTTATATGTCTGAGACCCATAATATATGCATGAAAATAGTATGATAGGAGACCCTTAAATTAAATGAAGAACACTTACTGTTTGTGTCTCACAGTATTCTTCAGCAGCCAGAAGAGACATGGCCTCCTCAAAGTACTGCATTTCCTCCACAGACAGATCTGCCAGTCTGCGCACCTCTTGGTACGACCACAGTTTGTTGCACTGTGTGGTCCCCTCCCCCACCGCAGGGCATCTGAATTTGTAATAACCCTTAAAACCAAAAAGACAAGCACATGTTTTTTAGTATTACAGAAAACTGGTGCACACGACTGGGCCTTCAAAACATGGTTTATGTGGGTAGAGAGGGGGAAACAGGATGTTTACTGCTCAAATGATTGCAACTAGACAATATGCTACTTCCTTTGGCAAACCTGGAGGACCTTTGGTATAACGTCATTCATACTAGTGCAGTAAACCGTACTCTACTGCAACCTTTTTATTCTACTTTCTTATCTATATTTTCTTTATTTATGGAATGAAGTTTTGTCGGTTGATGTTTCTTGAAATACTTTAGGAAACATTCAGTGTAGCAGAAAAGTTTTACTTTTGATTATTGGGTTTTACATTTGATTTTACAGCCACTTTTCTCCTTTTAACTTTTGCTCTGTGCACTGTTGCTGATTCACGCTCATCAGAAGCATCAGTAAACAGCTGTTTCTTTAAGCATACAACTCTATTGCATTAGATTTAGTATCTTATTTAGATAGATACTAACATTAAATACTGACTTCTTTATTTACAGAGAACATGTCTTGCACTTGCCAGTAGGTGGCAGAGTAAGCATAGAAGTGTTGCTGAGCATCCCAGTGGACAAAATAAACATGCTCTTACATTGCAATCTATTTATAACATAGCAACATGCTACCAACTGTCTTTTTAACCCACTGTCTCTTTCCCAATTTGAGTTTCCCAGTGTTTTCAGGACATACATCATCCAGCTGGCTGCGACACCATTGTGTGAGGGAGTCGGGGGTGACGGCGTGGCCGCAGGACATCTCTGCTCTGAGACCGTCGTCTTCATCACACACTGGATCCAGGTCGTCCTTCCTCTTCACAAACTTCAGGGTGGTGTCCCGGGGGTCGTACCTCTTCTCCACCTGCTCCTGTCCCCGCATGCTCATCGTGATTGTCCTGTAAGTGGACAAAAAACAATGATTTCTGACAAGTGAGATTTAAATGAACACATTTTTTTTCTTTTTATTGTTCTTTGTATTACTTCAGTTTGTGGCATTATTGTGCTTTGAACTACAACTCCCAAAATGTAGGCGCTTTGAGTTACACATGTTGACATGAAATCAGTCAGTTATAGGCTATAACGAGTTGTTTTGAGCATTTTAGTTTACAGATTGGCAAACATACTTGGCCCTTTACTTTTTGGAAAGTCCCTCTTCACAATGACCCAATGAGTGTACAGACAACTATCACTGGAAAACTGTTTTATTGAACAATTGTGTTTATTCTATGCAGGTGCTGGAGTGATAGGTGGCATAATGTGGATTTATTGATGTTAATTGACTGAGCTATTTATATCTGATATATAATTAGTCATCTGGAAACTTCTGAACATAAGGTGTTGGAGATACACTTGTTGCTGCTGACAAGACAAACATCTTGGCTCTGATATTTTTTCAGCTGACTGAGCTCATAGATCTGACTCACTGAACAGAAACTTAGGGAATTTTCCAGCTGGTTCACGTTCACATAAAAGTACATAGAGTAGAACTCAGTATTTATTCAGGCAGTGTGTGTATGATCATATCAATACACATGTGTTCGGTTATGCATATATTTTAGTATATGTTATGCTAAGTATTTCTTTGGAAAGCCCTTTGTGTTGATGGTTTAAAAAGTGCACTACAAACAAAATATATACATATCATTGATATGAAAATCAACTTGTCAACCACGTAAAACATTCATTTTTATTTATTGTATTGACAAACACTAAAAGACACTTTGCACATCTAATGTTAGAGTCTTATTCTGAAAAGCTACCTCAATATAAACTTCAATTCAGTTTAACCAACTTACATTTTAATTATTAGAGCAGTGCTGGATAGTTACATATACACTTACTAAAGTACTTGAATACAATTTTGAGGTACTTGTACTTTCCCTGAGTATTCTCAGTTTATGCTACTTTATGTGTTCCACTATATTTTAGAGGCCTATATCTTACTTTTTACTCCTTACATATTTGACAGTTTTTATTACAAGTTATTTTGTAGCTTTAGATGATTAGCTAACACAAAGTCTAAATCAATTTTTAAATAAACTTTGACATATATTTTTAAGTTAAGATGTCCAGCAGCAGTAGTATATAAAGATATTCAAATTAGATCTACCTTTATCAGTTGAGATAAAAACACATGAATAATCATAATAGTAACCCAGTAACTCATGTGATTCTATACTTTTGGTACTTACAGTATATTCGGATCATGCTTATTCTATTGTACTTTTACTTTAGTAAGATTTAGAATGCAGGACTTTTGCTTTTAACAAAGTCATTTTGTATTGCTACTTTTACATAAGTACAATATTACTTCTTACACCACTGGCCTACAGTTTGTATGACACGCAGTGAATAAAACTCTATTGACCGATAAATATATATGTATAAGAGGAAGTTATGTCTTACCTTGTTATTGTTGTTGTCAAACCGGAAGTAGCAACAATTCCGGACAGTGATTTCGCTCAAGTTCAAAACCCAGTGATTAAGGTAAAGTCTCCAGGGTCTCCAGGCAGCTGAAATATTAACGATCTTTTCTCGGGTTTGCGTTTCCTCCCTCCTTCAAATACTCTCTGAAAACGAAAGTGAAAGGAAGGAATCCGTCGGTTAGATAAGCTGCACGGTGAGTCGTCTCGTGTTTACCCTCCCATGTCACTAAATAAGAAGTGGCAATGCGTGTTATTATGAGTTATCGTGTACGTGTGGCTATCACTTTATATTTAATATTATAGCTTACTTTTGTCATTTGCTGAACGATTTGTTGACACAAGATTGGGTAATGGAGGACTGAGATCCAACGTGGGTTTCCATAACACCCAAACAAACCAGCTGCGTTCACTCAGATTTTACTTATATAAAAGTACCAGAGTGTAAGAATACTCAGTTACAAGTAAAAGTTCTACATTCAAGATGTTACTCAAGTAAAGTACAAAAGTATTATCATTAGCATGCACTTAAAGTATTAAAAGTAAAAGTACTCATTATGCAGATTGGCTAATTTCAGTATAATATAGGGCAGGCTATATTATATGTTTGATTATAATTATTGATGCATTAAAGTGTTATCAAAGCTGGTAAAGGTGCAGCTAGTTTTAATTCCTTTGTATGCTCCAGAAGTAACTAAAGTCTTATTTAAGTGTTGATTTACAGTTAAGTTCACGTTTTACCTCTGAATTGTAGTGGGCTAGAACAAAAATAAATACACAACTAAAGTACAAGTATCTCAAAACTGTGATTAGGAACAGTACTTGAGTAAATGCACTTAGTTACTTTACACCTTTGCACGTAATATGTGTTTTCTTGGACTGAAGCGCCCTTTAGTTTCATCCTCTAGCTGCCATGCAAGATTATAAATCGATCAGGGCTTTCTTTTTCTAAATTTGTATTATTGTTCAACTCATTGCCATTCCATGCCTAGATATCAGGATGTTGTGTTATGTTATTGGATTGTTAATAGCGATGCATTATTGTGTGTGAAGTGTCATGTCTAGTGGATGTAGAGCTACTTTGAACTATTGTGTATACTATTGCATGATTTATAGATAACAATACGTAATATTTTATAAACTGATCATAACATATTATTGTGTAAATCTGATGTGTTTTTTTTTTTAACTGTAACTGTCAGTTAAATGTAGAGTTATTGCAGTAACTTAGTTACTTTCCTTCAAAAAATGAAAGGTACTATTCTGCATTTAGAAACTATTAACATAATACTTAATCAGATGTAATGTCTGTCTCTATGTATGACTTAAAAAGTGAAATGGGAAAAATATATCATTATCTTCATAACTTTGCCAGTATTATCCAATTTCTGGTTTCTTCATGTTAAATTGTACACCTTGCATTCACAGCGTATCCACCCTCATGGTATTAGCTGCAATACAATTTCCTCTCCACCATCTTTCTTAACCAACAAAACACTATCATAATACATGCACAGACATCTTTAAAACTCCTGTCTTTTTACTTTTCACTGTTATTCTATTGTCGTTGATGATTCCGTAGCTAGTTTATTAGCATTGAGTGCAAAATAAGGCCATACTCTAAAAAACTAAACTGTGACCATTGAAGTTTTCCCTGCTTGCTGTCTCTTAACTTCTGCTGTATGTTCTTCAACAGGATGAGTCGATACATAAAAAAAAACATTGTTTCAAAACATTTTCATTTGAAAGGCATCAGGTATGACGTTGTTGAAAAATTCAGAGAGAAACTTGACAGCTTCACTATCTCAGGTAGGTGACATGACATGATGCCACTCAAACATGCTTTTATGTGTCTGAGTTTTTATGATAAAGTGTCTAATTTGACTATTGTCTCCTTAGATTACCATGGCCTTAACAGTCCAGGTCTGACATGCTATCTGAACAGTATTCTTCAGGTGCTTTACATGACCGAAGACTTCCAGGAGGCTGTACAACAGTTTGTAACCTTGACTTTATTTTTGATTGTTTTTAAAGTTTAGACTGTTAAGATCAAATGAAAACCAAAATAAATGTTTTTTTTTTATTATAGGACTAGATTGACATGCTGGAAACCATATATGTTTGTATTTTATAATGAAGCTGGAGCCAGCAGTTTGCTAGCTTAGCTTAGCATAAAGACTGGACCAAGGGGGTTAGCCTAGCTCTGTCTAATGCTAACAACACACAACTACCAGAGACTCTTAAATTAAGAAAATACAAAACCTAAAAATAACATGTTGTAGTGTTACGAGGGGTTACGTGTCTGAATATTTCTTGTTTGGTTATCAGGCAACACCAGTTAAATGCCATCCACTTTCCAGTCTTTATGCTAAGCTAAGCTAACCTGCTGATGGGTCAAGTGTCTTATTTCCTGTCACAAAAATGTAAAGCTATTCCTTTAAGAAAGATTTGTCCAAGAAAATCAGTGCAGTACAAAATGATGTGACTTTGCTTGATTGGTATATTGATCATATTCTTCTCACTGTGCCACAGGTGCCACAATAAAGATTCAACAACCATTGACTCACAGCTGGAAGGACTGTTTGCTGATTTACGAAAAAGAATTGCCAAAACACTTGACGTCACAGAAAAACTGGGGATCACTAATGGTAAGCTTCACTGTAGGAGCTCGAGTGTTAAAATCCTGCAGACCCTCGAGCCTGGTACTGACTCTGCATATGTTAATAATGATATTTTCTGTCCTTAAAAATACTTTCAGTATATGAGCAACGCGATGCTGCTGAGTATTTTGAGAAGATCCTGTGTATGACCAGTCCGGTTGCAGCTCAGGTACGGATAGCATATGAAATAATTTGTATATCTAATATTATCTTAGTTATAGATGTATATTTATACACCATACTCTACCCTGCTCTTTATATATCCAATTTTAAAAAAAAAATGTATTAGACAGGGATTTTTAATGTCAGCTTATATTTTTTTTAATTCTTATACTAGTTTTTGACATTATATTTTTGTTTGTATGTGTAGTTTTTTAATATCTAGGTGTGGAGAGTTGAGCCTAGGCATTTCATTGTACAGTGCAACCGCCCGGTATAATGTTCATGCAGCATTCAACACTTTTATTTCATGAAAGTGGAGATCATTATTAACAATTTAATAAAGCAGCTTATTATATTAATTGTGGATTCATCTGCAGTTTTTTTCTTGATCAATATATTAGTTGTTTGGTTTGTAAACTGTTATTAAGTGGTCAGAAGTGTGCAACATTATTACTTTTTAAAGTCTTGGGATTTTGGATTTTTAAGTGTTTTTGTTTTGTTAGCAGAATCTTAATTTTTGAAGTTACTTGTAGCAGATGTATTGCAGTATAACGTACACAATTTAGTTAAATTCCATTGCTATTTGATACTTAAAGAGCTACATTTCAGTGTAATATTCCCTTAGCAGTCTCTTTAATACCAAGTTTCACAGCAGTTATGAACCTCTGATGTGTCTTTGTGTCTAGATATTCAAAGGGGAGCTGAATCACATCACAACATGCCAGAAGTGCAAAGAGAGGAACCAGTCCAGGAGCTTTTTTTGGGTTCTGCCACTTGCAATAGAAGACTTGCGTGGTCACATCTACAGCGTGGTACTGTGTGTTCCTTTCACGAGAATAAGCGCTGTGTATTTGTTTCCAACGCAGGCAGGTTGAATATATGTACCATGTTTACAGGAGAAAGGGTTAAAGGCATTCTTCAAGGGGGAAAAAGTCAGCGGGGACGACAAGATGTACTGCAACCAGTGCAATAAAAAGCAAGACGCAGTGTTGGTGGGTATTTAAAATCATCAGATACCAATGAATTTACAAATATTGTGTGAATCCCAGTTAATATATGACCTTATAATAGAGTGCCACAGTGACGCGTCCTAAAACCCGGAAGTAAACTCCTTCCGGTTCCTTCGACAAAAACGCAATGCAATTTTTCGATAGGATTTTGGAAAATAGCTAGAAATAAGGTCTGTGGTTTAAACACATTTAAGAGAAGGATCACGTTTTGTTCAGCCGGATAATATCCACATGTCTACCCTACTTTTATAATTTTCTAATTGTAAATCTAATCGCCAGAAGCAAAATGCTAACGTTATGCTATAAACGAACTACAGCAGGGTCGCTGCTTCAACGTCACGCCAACTTAAGATCCATATTCAAAAATACAGATTCAAAATTGTACAAGTTGAAGCTTTTGTTTTAACAGTTTGCAGGAGGCAGGTACTTGCTTTCAAGCAGAACACGGGGAAAAACAAATTTAGCGGGAGTGTTTACGTGTTCGGTGTAATGACGTACAACGGCCTCGACAACTTAGTTGTCGAGGCCGTTGTACGTCATTACACCGAACACGTAAACACTCCCGCTAAATTTGTTTTTCCCCGTGTTCTGCTTGAAAGCAAGTACCTGCCTCCNTGTAAAAACAATTTGACACAATTTGAGCCATATATCTATAGAGTGGTGCAGTGACGCGTCCTAAAACCCGGACGTGAGTTAGCATTTTACCACTTCCTGTTTCCTCGTCTCAGAGCCAATGGGATCTCTCCAAAGGCTTTAGGAAGATATCTGGAACTAAGGTCTGTGGTTGAGACTCATTTAAGAGACGGATCACGTTTTGTTCTACGACATTAAATACATCAGCAGTGACCCCACTGGTGATTTCTGAAGAGTTTTCGTGTCTGAAAAACGATTGTTGTTACCAAGTGGCTGATTAGGACTACAGAAGTCGTGGAGGTCGTTGTACGTCATTACGCCGAACTCGTAAA